GTATAGTTTTTTTCATATTTTTTCTATGACTTTCTAAAGACCCCTGTACATAAAGTTCTTTGTATATATTAATTCCTTTCCTCTGAAGAATAGCTGCAATCGGGAGAAATAGTAGGTCATTAGGAAAGTCATGATGGGTTTTTCTATGTTTTTTTTTTTTTTTGGAGAGATTTTCACTGTAGGGCGCATGCGCTCTCCAGACAGACAGAGAGACACAGAGACAGAAAGCGAGAAATCACCCCCCAGGGGGGATGGTGACGCCGCAATCCCTTCTCCTCCATTCGCCTCTCGGGATCTTGGGCACGCACGCACACGCGCCCGGCGTGAGTTTTAAGCCACCGGGACACGAACCGCGGTCGACTACGTGGGAGTCCAGCGACATAGCCATTACGCTAACTGCTGGTTCCCGGGTTTTTCTATGTTTTTATGACCCAGTAAGAAGACTTAAATCAGGGGATGAAAGGTGGTATGGGTTGATACTGGACTCCCAAATGGCTAACCATGGTTCAAGTACTGGACCTGGTGGCTTGCTTTCTCATTTTCACTCTCTGTCTCTGGTCAAATTAAAAAATACTATAATAATATAAAATAAAATAATCTTAAAAAAAAAAAAAAGACTCAAATTATAACTAATTACATTTGCTTTTTGGAGTAGCCAGTGGTATGGTGGCTTAGGCAACTGGATCCTATATAGCCAACCTGTGCAGTTTGAAACCCAGACCCAGCAGCTTGAAAAACACACTGGGAGGGCCAGCAGGTGGCATGGTAGTTAAGACAGCTGGACTTCCACATGGCTGACTGAGGTTCACATCCCGGACTTGACAGCTTGCTTTCTCACTTTCCTTCTCTCTCTGTATCTATCTGGTCAACTTCCAAAAAACAAACAAACAAAAACACATACATATATACATACATAAAATTAAATTTAATAATTTTTTGGGGGGGAGGGAGAGGTTTTTGCCATAGGGTGCATATGCTCACCAGAAAGACAGACAGAAAGCGAGAAATTACCCCCCGGGGGGATGGCCACGCTGCAATCCCTTCTCCTCCTTTCTCCTCTCAGGATCTTGGGCGGGCACGCAAGCACATGCGCCTGGTGTGAGTTTAAGCCACCAGGTCCAGGACATGAACCACAGTCGACTACATGGGAGTCCAGCGACATAGCCATTATGCTAACTGCTGGTCCCAAATTTAAAAATTCTTAAAGAAAAAAAAAAAAAAAATCACTGAGGAGACCAGCAGATGACATAATGGTTACATCACTGAGCTGCCACATAGTCAACTGTGGTTCAAGTCCTGGACCTGGCAGCTTAAAACTCAACACCAGGTACGTGTATATGCGTTCCCAAAATCCCAAGAGAAGAACGGAAGGAGAAGGAGTTGCAGTGTGGCCATGGGGTGATTTCTCCCTTTCTGTCTTTCTGTCTCTCCAAGCAAGCATACATGCCTAATAGCAAAAAGCTCTCTTGAAAAAAGGACTGGCAGGTGGCATGGTGGTTAAGGGTGCTGGATTCCCACATGGCCAACCACGATATGAGTCCCAAACCGGGCAACTTGCTTTCTCACTCTCTTGTCAAATTAAAATAAATAATTTAAAATAAAATAATTCTTAAAAAAAAAGAAAGAAAGAAAGAAAAATAATAAAAAGCACACTGGGTGTGTGTTCATGTGGCCCAAAATCCCAAGAGGAGAACGAAGAAGAGATTACAGTGTGGCCATCCCCCTTGGGGAGGTGATTTCTCACTTTCCCTCTTTCTCTGCCTCTCTCTGGCATGCACACATACCCTATATCAAACTTAGGGAAAAAAACTGCTTTTTACCTCCCTCAAATTTCTTTCTAAATCTCAAGTCTCTGAAGCGTTTCTGGCACTTAGCTTCTAAAAACAAGACTTCTTTTAAACATCCAAATGACCCCATCATAAATGACAACTCATTCTGGTCTCGTGACCCCCACACTGACTTAATGTTGAATGAACGATCACTGAGATTTTTGCTCTATATTTGGCCAGATCGTTTTTTGGTTAACATTTCTCAGTACTCACTGGAATAACAAACCCAAACACCTGTGATTAATTGAAGGTCATTTTTAAATTATTTAAAACCACTTAAGATGAATTCTTGGAAGAGAAAATAAAAAGGCCAAATGCAAAAGAATGCAAGTCCATTATTTTATAAAATGAAAGCTCAGGGAAAATATTCAAGTTGTATGCTAATATAAGTGGACAGTTTGACTCTCTCTATGAAAACTTAAGATACTGAAAATTCTGTGCTTCATTATCACAAGCTCCTAACCAACTAAGCTGCCAAACAAGTCCTACTTTCCCACACTAGTTACAACTTTTTAAGAATTATTTTATTTAACTTTATTTATTGATTGCTTGCTTGATTTTTATTTGACCAGAGAGGGACAGAGTGGAAGAGAAAGGGAAAGTGAGAAACCAAGTGACCAGGTCCAGGACTCGAACCACAGTCGGCCACATGGGAGTCCATCGCCCTTAACCACCATGTCACCTCCTAGCCCCCAGTTTCATATTTAAAATGATATCAGAAAAATGTATTAATGACCAGTGATAATATTTATCTAACATAAACATCATTAGTAGAGCAAATAAGAATACTAACAATTTCTTGGTTTTTTTGGAGAGTTTTTTTGCTATAGGGCATGTGTGCTCACCAGAAAGACAGAGAGAGACAGAAAGTGAGGAATCACTCCCCACAGGGGATGGCCATGCCGCAATCCCTTCTCCTCCATTTTCCTCTCGGGATCTCGGGCATGCACGCACACGTGCCCGGTGTGAGTTTAAGCCTCCAAGTCTGGGATTCGAATCATGGTCAACTACATGGGAGTCTAGCGACATAGCTATTATTGTCATAGAATACTAACAATTTCTAATCTAAGTAAGAAAATGTTATTTTTTTAAAGTTTGTTTTTGTTTTTATTTTGCTTTCATTTTAGAAAGCTAATACAAAAGTATAAGCAAGAGGGGCCGGTAGGTGGAGTTGTGGCTAAGGGTGCTGGACTCCCACATGGCCGACCACGGTTTGAGTTACGGATGTGATGGCTTGCTTTCTCGCTTTCTCTCTCTCACATACACACTTTGTCCCTCTCTGGTGAAATTTTAATTAATTAATTAATTAATTAATTAAAGTTCAATTTAAACATTTTTTTTAAAAAGTATAAACAAGAGTTAATTAGGAGAAAAGGGGCCAGCAGGTGGTGCGGTGGTTAAGGGCACCGGTCTCCCACATGGCCAACCATAGTTCGAGTCCCAGACCTAGTGGCTTGCTTTCTTGCTTTCCCTCGCTCTCTATGGCTCTATCCCTCTCTGGTCAAATTAAAATAAAAATAAAGCTAAATAAAATAATTTTTTAAAAAAGAGTTAATTAGGAGAAAGAAATTCAAGTTTCCTTGAGTCCTACAATACGTCAAGGATTAGTTACTTAATATACATTATCTTATTAAATCCTCAAAACAATCCTATGAGGTTTTGTTTTTGCTATAGGGCACATATGCTCACTAGATAAAGAAGAACATTCTCCTCTGGCCTAGAAAGTGTTACTTTTGGGACCATCCCCTGGAATGATAGCTACATCACAATCCCATCTCCTCTCTTCTCCTCTTGGGATCTTGGGCACGCACACACATGCACCCAGTGTGAGTTTAAGCCACCGGGTCTGGGACTTGAACCACGGTCAACTACATGGGAGTCCAGCAACATAGCCATTACGCCAACTGCTGGTTCCATTAATAAAAATTTTTATTTATGAAAATAATCCATAATTTAAAATTAGGAGAAAATAATTTAATGTCTTAGGAGTTGGGCCAGCAGATGACATGGAGGTTAAGGCAGCTGGATCCCACATGGCCGACTGCATAGTTCAAGTCCCAGGGCCAGTGGCTTGAAAATCACGCTGGGCACATGTACATGAATGTCCAAATTCTGAGAAGAGAAAGGCCATCCCCCATGGGGAGTGATTTCTTACTTTCCCTGCCTCTCTGTCTCTGGTAAACACAGGCGCCCTATAGCAAACTTAAAAAAGTAATAATAAATTAAACAATTAAATTCCCAGGAGCTAGAGATTTGTTCCAGTCAATGGACAATCCCCATGGGCCTCCTCTGTGCCAATCACAGGTCACAAAGCATGATATGGGTGGTGGTTTACACAAGTATATATGCACATGTAAAACAATTTCATGAAGTCAGGCCTAAAATTAATGCTCTTTACATACTTCACTACATTTATGTTTACCTCACCAAAAAAGAAAATGGAGTTCATCAGAGAGCACAGGTAGCAAGTACTTCAGAATGAACGATGTACACACAGACATACGGCAGGAAGCAGCTTGGTATGAGGATTTAATCTGATACTGAGGGAGATGAGGCCAAAGAAGGAAGCTGGAGCCACATGATGCAGGCCTTGCGTGTTTTGGTGGCAACAGAGAAACATGAAGGTGTCCCTAGAGGCTACAGTGACGTGACCACATCTGGGTTAAACGACCCGGGCAGCTCTGCAAGGGCTATCCCTAACTGCCGAGCCTATATTCAGAACTTCATTTTAGAAAGCTACTACCAGAGCATAAGCAAGAGATAATCAGGGGAAAGAAACTTGAGTGTTCCTGAGTGCCTACAGGGTGCCACGGATTAGATACTTCCATGCGTTATTCTGTTAAACCCTTAATCCTATGAGGTCGGTATCGTCTCAGTTTTATAAATGCGGAAACTGAGACGGAGAGATATCTGTGAAGTGCTTCCACCATACCAAGCCACCGAGGGCAAAATGGATATGAAAGCTATGTGGGAGGCAAATCAACAGGTGTCTATGATTATTTGGATATAGTGCATACTGTACTGTGTGGGGAGCAATGGGAAGCAGACAGATCCATGCACACCCAGCAATAAGAAAGGACTCAGATTTCTACATAACACACTTTTTACAGTACAGTACCTAGTCTTATACCTAAATAATTAATTTTCAGTGCACATAAAGTATATGTTCACCTGAATTTCTTCTTTCATCAAATATGAGAGGCCCACCTCCTCTTCTCCCTCATAGCCTTCAGGTGGACCAGCCTCATCTTCTTCTTCATCTTCGTCATCTTCATCTCCGTCTTTAAAAATATTTTAGAAGATGAGAAAATGTCTGGGTAAAAGTTTCTTGCTAGTATGTTGATCTTTGTACCTTGCTCAATCACTTCAAAGTCTTAAGTCAATATGTAGAAAGTATCTGAGTGATTTTTTTCAGATTTGCTTTATAACATTCATATTTACTACTTGAGATGTATGATTTATAAATATTGATATGTACCAACTCATAAAGTTTCATCAAGACATTACATGTGAGCCAGCTGTAATGTACTGGTGTGGTGGTTAAGGCAACAAGATCCCATAGGGCCAACTATGAGGTTCAAGTCCTAGACCCAGTGACTTAAAAAACACTGGTCAGGGCCTGGCAGGTAGCACGGAGGTTGAGATGTTGGATTCCCACATGACCAGCTGAGGATCAATTCCCAGACCTGGCAGCTTGCTTTCTCACTTTCCCTCTCTCTCTCTCTGCTGAATGCATATGCTCTATAGCAAATTAAAAAATATTAAGGGGCCAGCAGGTGGTATGGTGGTTAAGGTGCTGGACACTCCCACATGGCTGACTATGGTTCAAATCCCAGACCTGTGCTTTCTCACTTTCCCTCTCTCTCTGTGTCTCTCTCTGGTCAAATTAAAACAAGTAAATGAGGGACTGGCAGTTGGAGTAATGGCTATGTCACTAGACTCTTGCAGTTCGAGTCCTACCTGGTGGCTTAAACTCACGCCAGGCACATGTGCATGCATATGTGCCCAAGCTCCCAAGAAGAGAATGGAGAAGGGATTGCAGCATGGCAATCCCTGGAGGGTGGGGGGGTTCCTCACTTTTTGTCTCTCTTTCTAGCGAGCATATGTGCCCTATAGCAAAAACCTCCACCCCCCCCAAAAAAAAAGAATTAAAAAATAAATAAATAATTCTTTAAAAAAATAATAAAATCAAGTAATTTTTTTGTTTGTTTGTTTGTTTCAGGTCTACCTGGGATCCAAGCCACCATGTTCCGTGTGGCTCCAGCACTACAGAGTACCACTTCACCACCTGCGCAACGATGCTGGGCCACCCATCAAATTTCTTTTTACACTAAAAAACTTTTTACCCAATAACAAGCAGTTACTAGCAATATTTCATCGGGACCAGCAGTTGACGTAATGGCTATGTCGTTGGACTCCCATGTGGTCAACCACAGTTCGAGTCCCAGACCCGGTAGCTTAAACTCAAGTCGGGCGCGTGTGCGTGCATGCCCAAGATCCCAATAGAAGAATGAAGAAGAAGGGATTGCGGTGTGGGCACTCCCCCTGGGGAGTGATTTCTCACTTTCTGTTTCTCTGTCTCTCTCTGTCTTTCTGGTGAGTGCATGCGCCCTATAGCAAAAACGTCTCAAAACAAAACAATATTCCATCATCTGATCCATCAGTCATCCATTCATCTAAAAATTCATATTTGCTATCTAAATCTATGGTATTTTCATTACCTTAAAAATAAACCCCTACAGCTATTAGAAGTCACGTCCCCATTCTCTTCTACCCAAGCTGTTGGCAATCACTAAGCTATTAATACTTTCTATCTCAACAGATTTGCCTACTTTGGATTTTTCATATAAATTCAATCAAGCAATACATAGTTTTTTTTGTGTCATTTCTTTTACTTAGCAGAACTTTTTCAAGTTTACTCATGTAGTATGCATGCGTCAGTACTTCATTTTTACAATGGAATAATACTGTATTACATGGTTAGGTCACATTTTTAATCTATTCATCAGTTGATGAACACTTAGGCTGTTTCTAACATTTTGGCTACTATGAATAATGCTATTATGAATAGCACTTTTGTTCAATTTTTTCTTCATTTTTTAGGTTTTTGCGATAGGGTGCATATTCTCACTGGAGAGAGACAGACAGAGAAAGAGAAAGGGAAGGTGAGAAATCAACCCTCACAGAGACAGCCACACCACAATCCCTTCTTCACCCTCCTCTGAGGATTTTGGGCATGTATGCACACATGCCTGGCATGAGTTTTAAGCTGCCAGATCCAGGCTAGTGATGTGGGAGCCTAGCCTCTTAACTACCATGCCTTCTGCTAGCCCCTGAGAGGTTCTTTTTTCTTTTTAAGAATGATTTTATTTGCCAGGCATGGTGGCGCCTACCCTATGGCAAGAATTATTTTATTTAATTTTATTCATCAATAATAATGATGAATAAAATTAAATAAAGTAATTTAATTTTATTGAACTTGAACCAACTACATGGTTCAAGTCCTGGGACCAGTGGCATGAGAAACATGTCAGAGTGTGTGCACAAGTGTACAGGATCCCAACAGAAGAATGGAGGAGAAGGGACTGAGGTATGGCCATCACCCCTGGGGATGGTTTCTCACTTTCCCTCTCTGTCTCGGGCTAGCACCCTACAGCAAAAGTCTAAAAAATAATAATAATCAATAAATAGTAATAACCAGGCAGGACCAGCAGTTAGCGTAATGGCTATGTCTCTGGAATCCCATGTAGTCAACTGCGGGTCGAGTCCCCAACCCAGTGGCTTAAACTCACAACAGGCACGTGTGTGTGTATGCCCAAGATCCCAAGAGAAAAATGGAGGAGAAGGGATTGTGGCATAGCCATCCCCCCGGGGGGTGATTTCTCGCTTTCTGTTTCTATGTCTCTCTCTGTCTTTCTGGCGAGCACACGCACCCTATAGCAAAAAACTCTCAAAAAAAAAGAAAGAAAGAAAGAAAATAAATAATAACCGGTAAATTCTTTGAAACTATCAGAAATCTGAAAGAAGAAATATAGACTAAAATTTTCAAATTTTTGTCTTCTCTTAAAAAACAACAAAAAAATTTGTCTTCATATCTTCTTGTGCTTTTTTTCCCACACTTAAATCTCTAGGCCCAATCTAATTTACATAGCTAGAGTAGAAACTATAATTATGACACATTTATGAGTATTATATTAAAAATGATTACCCTCATCATCCTCCTCTTCAGAGTCTGGTGCTTCATTATCTTCCTGATCAAATCCATCTAAGTAGGTGATTTGCTGCAGCAGTTCAAAAATACTTTCTCTATAATCTTCCAGGTTTGTGATCTCACAGTTAAACAAGTCCAGACTTTTCAAATTTTTAAGATTTTGCTGGAAAAGTAAAATTAAAGTTTACATTCAAGATTTAAAATATCACCTCATGTCTTTTTAATTCATGCTCCAGAAAATATGTATTTGAAATTAAGAGAATAACTTTGGGATTTTTAGAATTCTGTAATGAAGGGTCATTGTATCAGTACAGCCAGTTCGGTTAATTAGTCCCTGGCATGTGAACCCCACCCAGGCAGGAACTTTGTTTCGTTAACTGTTATAAGGCCAGGGTCTTAGCACCTAACTTAAAGCAGGCATGCCTCATGTTTTTGTTAACTGAGTCAGTGCATAAATAGGCAATAACAATACTATGGTCAATTTAAATTCACAAACTTATTGTCAACATTTCAACTTCATCTCAGTCTTTTTTAAAAATCAGAGCAACAATTTTCAGAGTTTTGCTTCATCTTCTTTCCCTCACACTAGAAAATGAAGGGACAAATAATAAAGTTACTCAAAAAATAATTAAGAAAGAAGAAAAAGGAATTAAGAGTTCAGAAAATGCTGAATAGTTAAGTCCTGAAGTTGAGAAAGTAAGTTCTGAATGATTTTAAAATTCATATGGATATTGTACTGTGAAGGAAAAGGAAACAGTAACTGTCTAGACCACAACCTATAAGAAATTCAAAAGTCAGGAGTTAAGTAGAGGGGACCAGCAGGTGGCGTGGTGGTTAAGACGCTGGACACTCCCACATGGCCAACCAGGGTTCAAGTCCCGAATCTGGTGGCTTGCTTTCTCACTTCCTCTCTCTCTCACTCTCACCCTCTGTCTCTCTCTAGTCAAAATAAAAAATAAAATGAATGAATAAATAAAAATAAAATAATTATTTTTAAAAAAAGAGTTAAGTAGAAATTAATAATATAAACAACAAATCTCAGAAAATTGACCCAAAAAAGGCTAGTCCAGAGATAAAACCTTTCCACTTACCAGAGCTTCTACTGTACTGAGATCTTTGATTTTGTTTCCACTTAGATTGAGGTAGGTAAGATTCGGACATTTCTCTGCTAGGACTTCCAAGCCTCCAGAAATTATATTGTCACTAAGTTCTAACTATATATTCAACATTGGAAGAAAAGAAAGAATAATGAAATCTTAAGACAGATCAAAGAGTTTAAAAGTATAACAATTGAAGAAAAAAATATTTTTCATTCTCTATGGCTTCAGGGGACAAATTAATTTCTAAATTCTCATCTACACATTCTAAATAATATATGAGAACCCCCTTATAATGGGTTCCTAGCCCAGTTTTGGCTCCTGTTTTGTTACATTTAGATGTTATGATTCCGAGAAAAACATTTGGTAGATGTGAAATCCAAATTTGTATCATAAAATGATTACACTAATAACATTAAATTTCTTAAAGTAATTAAAAGAGCTGACTCCAAAATCCTATATAACCCTTTATCTTATCTCTAAAAACTTAAAAACTTCTAATTAGCAGGCAGATCAGTCATTTCACTCGACCAAAAACTCCAAAAACTTGACACAATAGCCCTTGGCATTGAAATCATGATGTTTCCATAATGCCAACTTACCTTCCGAAGTTTATTTAAGCTGGGAAGCCTGGCCAGTGAACTTAGCTCCACATTAGCCATACTCAGAAACTCTAGTTCTTTAAAAGTGTCATTCAGGCCTTCAATTTCCCCATTGACACACAGACAATTATCAAGGACTAACTCTGTCACCTGTAAGAGGGAACACAATCATTCTTTAGTTTGCAATCTGTTTGGCAATAGACTTAGGTCTTGACACTCTACAAATAGGAATATTAAAACGACCAGTCCCCTTACACAAATCCTTTTCATGCTACCCCAGAAGTGATAGACAGTCTAAAGGTCATCACTATGTATAAGTAATATTTTAAACTTAAACTTGGCCTAAGAAGTTAAATGTCTGCTTTAAATGACTGAAGAATTAATCTAAAAAAAAAAAAAAAAAAAAAAACAACTTAGCAAAATGTCCCAGGGTGAAACCTGTTTCTGATTCTGATGAGAAAAGGATCCTCAGTATCAAGACCCATATTTATGCAGTGAGGGGACACCTGGGCTAGCAGGAAAAGATTTAAATGAGCTGCCCGCAAACTTAGGGAGAAGAAATTGTTTTATCATCTTTTCAATTTAAACGCCCTTATTTTTGGTTAATAAATGCCACATAACAAAAAAATCAAGTTACCCTTCAGGAAGAAATGCGAGAAAACGTCTGAAACAGTCTAGCTTTTGGATGTTACTTGTTCTAACATCCAGGCCAAACACTATCACTCAGAACAAGACATCCTTGACAAACTGTTATTTCTCCCTGCCACTCTGCTGGCATTTTTGTGGACTTTTTCCTATCCATGCAGGAAAAAGGGACTGGATTCCCTGATTCCCTGATTCCCTGATAGGTAGGGTCGTAGAAAGGAAACTTCCTGGCAAGAATCCAAATGGATTTAATGTTAAGGGGAGGCAGGAGATCCTGGTTCTCCATCCTCAATGCTAAAATAGGTTTGAGGACTACAAACCAGCAACAAGAGTGTCGCCTCTCTACTGGAATACGACTTTGCCATAATGATTTCTGTGAGCTGAGAAGGCATGTGATCACCCTTTCAGGGAGGAGACCAAGGCCCATAGGGCAAGACGGACCTGCCTAGGGTCACACAGTTCCCATCCGCTCTGCCTGACTCTAAGTCAAGACTCCCGGCGTTGGGGGAGCGATGAGAGGGCTGCTGGATTTGGTGTCAGAAAACCAGTTCTTCCACTTGAGTAAATCACTTCACTGCTCCGAGACTCCCTTTGCTAATTTAGATTCCAGAACAATACAATCTACCTTACAACTTTGTCTGAAGGAGGAAAGTAAATAACAAACGGGGAAAGTGCTTTGCTGTCTGTACAAATACAAGGGACCGTTATTACACCACAGCCGAGCAAGGGGCGGCTGCAACCCCCCCAAAACTGGCAAGGAAGTGACTGAGATCGGTCGGTAAAAGAACGGGGGAAAGGGCAGCCCAAGACATAAAAAACAGCATTCCAAGTGTGTGCTTCTAAGAGACAGCTTTTCAAGTTTGGGTCTGTTTGTTTTCGTGCTTAAGTCTGTAAGAACAAGCTCTAGGAAACTTCTCTCTGGGATGACCCTGATAGCAGCGACAGTTTCCTGCCTTCCACTCGCACCGCCTCCCGGTCAATTTCAGTGAAACAGAGACTTTAAAAAAAAAAAAAAAAAACAGTGCAAAAATATCTTGAGGTCCCATTCCGCACTTCAAACGCAAAAGCCCAGGCGGATCCTATTCATCCTCTATACTGGTAAGCACAGGCGTCACCCCAGCTAAAAAACAAGTGTGTGTGTGACATACATGTGTGACATACAGAGACACAGATACACTGCATACCCCTTCTGTTCCCGCCCGAGGGCTTATACCAGGGCTCTCAAACCAGACGCTCGCGTCGCTCTCCCTGCGACCAGAAGCCGCTCCGACCGCCGGGAAAGCCCACATGGGCGGGGCGGGGACTCCCCGCGGAAGAAAGGGGTCGGCTCGGCGCGGCCCC